AGGCAGCTTTGAGCAATGGAAAAATCACTATGGAGTTAGACAGGCTTTCATCTACAGTAGCACCTGACTGAATTGGCTGACCTTGGGTGTGGTCACTGTATTCATTAAATATCAAGTTCACAACTGTAAAATAAGGGTTGATTACCTACTAAACAGGGTTGTTTTAAAGATTAAATGAGAAAGCCCAAATATAGTGCTTGGCACATAGTATGTACACTTTCTTTTCTTCCTATATTCCTAGACCCCTTTGAATTGGTATTATTTTATGCCACTTTCCTCTCCCCTTTCTAGCCTAGGGTTCTTCACTGAGATAATAACCACAAGTAGTATGAGTAGTCTGGACAAATTAAGTATGCCTCACAGAGGTGGTTAAAAATGATAACACAAATTTCCACCTTTTGATTATTTGCTGCTATCCTGCTGTTACATAAAATTTATTCAGCTTTATTCTCAAATAAAATTGTACTTGATTTTATTTTATTTTTTAAAATTTCTAACATGCTTTTCTTTAAACTTATCTTTATTGTTGAATGTATTACAGATGTTCCTTATTTTTCCCCCATTGACTCCCTCCCCCCCCCCCCCCCCCCCCCCCGCCTTTCCCCACACTATTGTCTGTGTCCATTGGTTATGCATATATGCATATAAATTCTTTGGTTTATTTCTTCCCATCCTCCAACTCCCCTTCCCTTTGAGGTTCATCAGTCTAGCAACCAATTTGTACTTCTTAATCCCTTCACCTTTTTCACCCATTCCCCCAACCCCCCTCCCATATGGCAACCAACAAAATGTTCTCTATGAGAATGTTTCTGTTCTGCTTGTTCATTTTGTTTGTAGAGTCAATTGTCGATAGATACGTATTCATTACCATTTTGTTTGTTCATATTTTTTATCTTTTTCTTCAAGAAGACCCTTCAACATTTCATATAATAACAGTTTAGTGGTAGTGAACTCCTTTAGCTTTTCCTTGTCTGGGAAACTCTTAATAGGGCCATCGATTCTAAATGACAGCTTTGCAGGATAGAGTAATTTTGGTTGTAGGTTCTTGCTTTTCATCACTCTGAATATTTCTTGCCACTCCCTTCTGGCCTGCAAAGTTTCTTTTGAGAAATCAGCTGACAGTCTTATGGGAACTCCCTTGTAGGTAACTAACTGCTTTTCTCTTGCTGCTTTTGATTCTCTCTTTGTCTTGAACCTTTTGCATTTTGATAACAGTGTGTCTTGGTGTGGGCCTCTTGGGGTTCAGCTTGTTTGGGACTCTCTATGCTTCCTGGACTTGTATGTCTGTTTCCTTCACCAAGTTAGGGAAGTTTTCTGCCATTATTGTTTCAAATAGGTTTTCGATTTCTTGTTCTCTCTCTTCTCCTTCTGGCACCCCCAGGATGTGAATGTTGGCACGCTTGAAGTTGTCCCAGAGGCTCCTTACACGATCCTCATTTTTTTGGATTCTTTTTTCTTTTTGCTGTTCTGATTGGGTGTTTTTTGCTTCCTTATATTCCAAATCAATGGTTTGCTTCTTGGCTTTACCTGCTCTGCTATTGAATCTGTGTACATTGTTCTTTATTTCAGTTAGTGCCTCCTTCATTTCTGACTGGTCTTTTTTTATGCTCTTGAGGCCCTCACTAAGTTCGCTGAGGTTCTCACTAAGTTCACTGAGCATCCTTATAAGCAGTATTTTGAACTCAGCACCTGTTAGGTTGCTTATCTCCATTTCGCTTAGTTCTTTTCCTAGAGTTTTGTTCTGTTCTTTCATTCGGGTCCTGTTTCTTTGTCTCCTCATTTTGGCTGCCTCCCTGTGTTTGTTTCAGTGTATTACTTAATGGGAGGTATGGGGCTAGTTGAGAGTAGATGCTGCTTGTTTGAAAGAAAACTTGAAGCAGGATCCAAGACAGGTCAATTCTATAGTTAAGCAAGTGGCAACAACTTGGGTGGGCCTGAAAGTTGGGTGGGGCAGGGCCTCAGGGAATCACCAGGGCAGGGCAATCAGTGTGAGCCAGGTTGCTGGAGTCCCAGATATGGCAGCTGTCTGCTGCCCCAGGGAAGGGCTCACCAAAGGAACAAAGGCCTCTGACAGCATGTCTGTCCAGGAGAAAGCCCCCTCTCCAGCCCTCGCTCCAATGCCAAACAGCTCATTTCTTTCCTTATGTCTCTGGCGCCCCTCAAGCTGCTTCCCCTCTGAGCTTAGAGGGAGCAAGTCTGAGTAAGTCCCTGCACAGGTCCTTTAAGAGGAGCTGCCTGGGGCTCCAGCTGCCTCAGCCTCCCTGAGCCTCAGTTCCTGCTGGTTTTTCCAGCCAGAAGTTATGGGGACTTTTCTTCCTTGCACTGGAACCCTGAGTGGGGTGCCTGGTGTGGGACGGGGACCCCTCAGTCCTCATGGGGGACCTTCCCAGCCAAGGTATCCTTCTAATTTTTACTTGCCACATGTGGATATGGGACAAGCCCATTGTGCCTCCCCCCACTCCTACCTCCGCCTCTCCTACCAGTCTCGATGTGGCTTCTTCTTTAATTTTGTAGTTGTAGGACTTCCATTCAGCTTGATTTCAGGTGGCTTTGAATGACGGTTGTTCTGTAGTTTAGTTGTAACCTTGATGTGGTTGTGGTAGGATGCCATACCGCATTTACCTACACCGCCATCTAGACCAGAAATGTATTTATTTATTTTTTAAAGTATTTTTTTCTTTATTGATATCAGAGAGAGAGGAAGGGAGAGGGAGAGATATAAACATCAATGAGAAAGAACATGGATCAGCTGCCTCCTGCGCATCCCTCCACTGGGGATTGGGCCCGCACCCTGAGCATGTGCCCTGACTGGGAGTTGAACTGGTGATCTCTTGGTGCATTGGTCGACACTCCAGCTGGGCTATATGTATATATTTTTTAAATTGTCTATTGATGGGCACTTACGTTATTTTATGTTTTTTTAAATCTTGTAATTAATTTTGTGATGAGCACTCTTCCATAAAATTGTTTTGTATATTTATGATTTCTTTTTTCTTTTTTTTTTTTTAATCCTCACCCGAGGACATTTTTCCATTTTTTTTGTTCAGGTAGAGCGGGAGGGAGATAGAGGAACAGAGAGAGAGAAAGAGAAACATTGACGTGAAAGGGACACATCGAGTGGCTGCCACCCGCACGACCAACCAGGGCCGGGGACAAACTGCAACCGAGGCACGCGCCCTTAGCGGGAACCGAACCCGGGTCTCTCAGGACCGCAGGCCGACGCTCTAACCGCTGAGCCAAACCGGCCAGGGCTATTTATGATTTCTTAAGAGAGACTTAACACTGTCCCTTAAACTCACCTTGGGAGAGTGGTGGTGAGTTTCAGAGGGGATGATAGAAATTCACTCCCTTCTACTGAGAAATCCTTACAAAACTCGTGACAAATTATGGTTTTAGCTGCCACCAAGGATATAGTTCAAACATACTTAGTAAAAATAACTTATTAGAGACCCCTCCTATGAGTTATAAGGTTTTTTTATTCATTTTATTTTTTAAATATATTTTTATTGACTTTTTTAGAGAGAGAGGGAGAGAAAAAAATATCGATGTGAGAGAGAAACATCTATCGGCTGCCTCCCACATGCCCCCTACTGGAGATGGAGCCCACAGCCCGGGTCCTCTCAGTTCATGGGATGCTCAGTTCACTGAACCACGCTGGCCAGGTGTGATAAGGTTTTTTAAAATCATGGACAGTTTGGGAAGATACTTGGCATGTAGACCAGAGTATGAGGTGAGACCAAAGCTATTTATATTAGGGCATAATATGAGACTGGTCGTCATAGAACTCCAGAGGAAATACGAAGACAAGGTTTGGTAGGTTTGGGGGAATATATTATGACAAAGGAAGAAGAATATTCAGTGGTATTACTAAGATTCTAAATCTCAGGGACTTGGAGAATGTGATCAAAATACTAAAGTTGGAATGAAAGCCAGTTTTGAAGAGATCAGTTTAATTACAAATATGCTGGAGAGGCATTTAAGTTAACCTATATGTTAAATATTTAGATAGGATTCAGATCTTGAGTTTCTTTTGATAGAATTCATATTGAAACCCTAAAAATGGTGGAGTTCAAATAAATTATATAACTAATAAGTGGCGAAGGTGAGATTCAAATACAAAGTTCTGCTCCAAAGTTCATGTTCTTAGCCTCAATGCTATAATGAGTGGGAGAAGCCCTTTTATTCACATTTATTTTTGTACCATGTATTGGTCTTTTCATTTTCTAAGTTCTTTCTTTTGTTATTTTGCCATTTAATTTATTTTATGCCTTTACTGTATAATCTTTTTTTATATATGTTTTTATTGATTTTTTTTTTTTTGAGAGAGAGAGAGAGGAAGGGAGAGAGAGAGAAACATCGATGTGAGAGAGATTATTACCTTTTCTCTGAAGCTGTCTTGGACTCATCCAGGCAGGCTTTACATTTCCTTTCTTAGCCCCCCTTATAGTATTCTTGGCAAGACCCTTCATTTTTAACAATTATCACGATATTATAAATCTCTTTACATTTTTATTTCTGCAATAGACTATAAGCTTCTTGAAGGCTTCAACTGTTTCATTTCTGTGACATTAGTACCTAGGAAAATTATTAGATATAGGTGAAGTAATTGAATTTTAAAATAATTGCAGGAACATTTTTGAATAATACTGGTTTTCATACATTAAGTAAATTACCAGTAAACATTTTTTTATCTCATTGTAGAAATCTCTCAAACTCTTTCTATATTGAGTAGTTATCAAATTTTATGAGAAAAACTAAGAAAAAGTATTTTCTTTGTATTTTTTATAATGTCTTCATAAAACAAAATATCTTTTTCTTAGATTAGAATATAAGTAGTGTTTGGTCTTCAGTGAAAATGTTTAGTTACTAATAAAAACTCAACGATTACTTTTTCTTCCAGATAACTTGAGTTTCATATTGAGATGATGTATTAATCTATAGTTGATAAGAAACATTATTTTATATGAAGCATTGTTTAATGTATATCTCTCTTTTCTTAGGCATCATTCTTAACAAAGAAGTTAAATATTGGTGGGAAAAGAGTAAACCTTGCCATATGGGTAAGTTAATCTTTTCAACTATGTGAGTTAAGGCCTCTACTGTTTTTGGTACTTTAATAACTATTTGGGTCAAGGAATGATAATTTGAAATTCTGGATTTTTTTTTCAATTTATTGAAGATTAGCCAAAACTTTTTAAATAATATTTTTCTAAAATCTGGCTAATCATATCTTGAATACAATTATATACATGAATATTGCTATCATAACTTTTCAGCTCTATAAGGGTTAACTCAGGGATTCCATGTTAGAGAAAGGAAAGGACAGGGTGGGTAGACAGCAGCCTTGCCTTTTTAATATATATTTTAATTGATTTTAGAGAGAGAGGAGGGAGAGGGGAAAAAAGAGAGAAACAATGATTGGCTGCCTCCTCCATATGAGCCTACTAACTGAGCATGTGCCCTGACCAGAATCAAACCGATGACCCTTCGTGTACAGGACGAAGCTCAACCAACTGAGCCACATCTACCAGTGCCATGTGGCCTTTTTTCCTCTGTGTTTATGTTCCAGTCTTCCAAGAGAGTTGCTAGTGGAGAGTAGGGCAAGAGTAATGCAGTAGGATACCTGTTGGCAGGTGCATGTTTTTCTTGTCTTTTCCCTCTGTGGGGCCAGGCCTATTCCTGGCTTATAATGCTATCTTGGTCATTGTGGCCCTTAGGTAACTGAACTGTTTATTTAGTGGGGATAGGAAGATTGCTGGGGAGGAAGATGGTTGGGAGGGAAAATGGAAACTTGTATAACATTAAAACATTAAATATTGACTATAACTTGATGTTTAAAAAGTCTCTGTAACCTGCTTTTTTTCTTTTAACATTGTTTTGGGGTTATCTGTAACTTTTTGCCCCACTTTTTGTGGTCATGAACTTTTAGTCAATACTTTACTGTAGTTGCAGTAGCAGATGTATTTTTTTTCTTCTGATCTAATAAGCATTTGTTTATTTAGGATACAGCAGGTCAAGAGAGATTCCATGCATTGGGTCCAATTTACTACAGAGATTCAAATGGAGCTATTTTAGTTTATGATATAACAGATGAAGATTCTTTTCAGAAGGTATTTTATTTACTTGTGGATAGATGACTTAATAGAAGAATAACGCTGGCTTTTCAAGTTTCCATAACATGCATTTGTTTACTAATGTGATTAATCTTGGGTTTAAAGGTGTAGTTTGTACATAAATGGTGACTGCTCATATTTTTTAAAGGAGTATTTAGTTCATGTTAACCATATGAATATCAGTTATTGTTTATTGTTTATTACCTGGCTTTCTTAGATATTAGAAAAGGGAAATAATCTGAAGTAAAACTTCAGAAAAATACAGGGTTTTTTTCTCTCTGTTAAAGAAAACTCACATGCATTTCTTTGATTACATGCATACTTGGCACCTGAAATCTTGGTATGTCTACATGGGCTTCCTAATTGTGAAGAGGAAGAAGGAGAACTAAATAAAATTTAACCTCTTTCTCCTCACTAAATATTCTGGAGGATATATTATAACATTTAAAAGTATTTATTTTAAAGTTTCTCAATTTTTTTTTTACCCCTTTTTAAACATATGCCAAAAATGTAATTTTTAAAGTTGATTAGGACCAAAAATGAGTACTATTAAACTTATCTCTGAATTCTCATCACCATTAAGGTAGTGACTACTTATTTGACCTTTCCTCTGAAAGTCCCTTTTGGAATTTGTCAAGGGTGTGTAACCAAAAGGGGTAATTTCCAAGGCAAAAATTTATCTTGGCTTGAGTTACACTTTTGTTCGTGTTGAAATTGCTTGTCTTTTTAGTTTTTTTTTCTTTTCATTTATTTCCAAGTATTTATTTTTTTAAAGTTTTTTGTTGTTGTTGTTTTTTATTGATTTTTAGAGAGGAAGGGAGAGGGGGAGAGAGATAGAAACATTGATGAGAGAGAACATCGATTGGCTACCTCCTGCATGTCCCCCACTGGGGATTGGGCCCACAACCTGGGCATGTGCCCTGACTGGGAATCAAACTGGCAACCTCTTGGTGCATGTCCATGCTCACCCACTGAGCCACACTGGCTGGGCTATTTCCCAGTATTTAACTGATGGAGTCAGATATATGTTAGCCCTTGGCTTATTAATGACATGTGGAAAAACTTAGTTCAAAGAGTAGAAAAATTAGCCCAGCCAGTGTGGCTCAGTGGTTGAGTGTCAACCCATGTACCAAGGTTGCTGGTTCGATTCCCAGTCAGGGCACATACCCAAGTTGTGGGCCCAAGCCCCAGTGGGGGGCATGCAGGAGATGGCCAATTGATGTTCTCTGTCATTGATGTTTCTGTCTGTCTCTCCCTCTCCCTTCCTCTCTAAAATCAATAAAGAAAAAAAAAAAATCTCTGACATTTAAAAAAAAGTAGAAAAATTAAACAGCATGCAGATTTAATGACATTTTAAATAGTTATTTTGGGGCTTCGATTTGATGCTATTTGTAATCCCTTCTTGCCTTTTGTTTTTTAATTGATCTTAGTGGAAAGGGGAGGAGGGAGAGAGGGACAGAAACATTGATGTGATATATAAACATCAGTTGGTTGCCTCTCACACATGCCCCAGCTGGGGATGGAACCTGTAGCCTGAGTATGTGCCCTCTGCAGGAATTGAACCTGCCACCACTTGGTGTATGGGATGATGCTCCAACCAACTGAGCCACACTGGCCAGGGCCCTTTCTGCCTTTTTACATTAAAAAATTGATTTAGGTATTTTATTGATTAAGAAAAGGTTGAATCTCTTAGGTTGAAAAGTGACCATTCATCTCTTGCTGCATTTCAAAACCCCTAAAACTTGGTGGTTTAAAATGATTTACTGTTTCTCATGATTTTGTGGGTCCTTTGCTACCTTTGGTGTCAGCGGAGTCACTTACGCAACTGCATTGAACTGGGAATTTGGCTGGTCCAGGAATATCCAAGGCATCCTGGTTCTACTCCATATGGCTTCTCATTCTATCTTGTGTCTCATCTTCTGGTATTCTCTCTACATGCTCTCTCATTATTCCATATTCTAGCCTAAGCTTCTTGTATGACAACTGAATCCCGAGTGTAGCTGCCAGGCCTTCTTTAGGCTTAGGTCTGGAACTGGCATAGCATCACTCTGCCACGTGCTCTTGGTCAAAGCAAGTTACATGGTTACCCCAAATTCAAAGGGAGGAGAAATAGAGTTTATTTCTTGATAGGAGGATTGGCAAAGAATTTGTGACCATCTTTAACTCACCACAGAATGTATGGGGTAATGAATTGGATGCCTATAGAAGGGGGACTTATTGGAGGTGAATAACAGTTTATTTTAAACTGTTTAGATTTATGATGCTATATGTATAGAGAGCAGAGCAACACATAATTGCATTATGTCATGTTTCCTTTGAAATGATGAGGATGGACATTTTATACGAGTACTATCAAATTTTTCTTATGTGAAATCAACTAGGGGTGGAAGTTAAATGCTTTTCTGAAGACTTTATACACATGCATGAATGAAATAAAAAGATGGGGCTGTACTGAGAAAACTGATTCAGTGCTATTACAAAGATAAGGTGGTGATATTGATTACTTTTGCTTTTATAAAGATTTAAGGTTTACTAAAGAGTTCATTCTTCTATATTCTTGTGGAGAACAGGAGTATAGCACTGTTATTACATTTGTACCATAGGACCAGATGCTACAGTTAATGCTTACCACATATTTAATGTAATTTTTGTAATTTATAGATACATGTGTGTATTTTTTTGGAAGTTGTATAAGTTCTGTGTAATTTGATTGCATACGGAATAAATTCCATTACAGAGAATATGAAAGAAAGTATCCAAGTTTTTTTATTTTTTTTATCCTGTTTTATTATAGTCAGCATCTTTAAAATCAGTTCAAAAGATTCATTTTCTTAATTCTAGTTTACTCCCAACTGTGCCTACTAGTATGTTTCATCCATAGTGAAGTATCAGTTTGTTACTGGAGTCATTGTATGCCAGTGGTCCTCCAAGAGAGGGTGGCAATGTCTGGAGACATCTGTGGTTGTCACAACTGGAGGGTGATCCTGGCATAGAATGGTTAGGAGGCCAAGGATGCTCCTAAACATCATATATTGCACAAGAAGGTCCCTCACAACAGAGCCAAAATATCAATAATGCCAGGGTTGAAAAAAACCTGTCATATACTGAAGGATGAATATTTATTTTGCCAGTGTTTTTGGTGCCTATATATATATTTTTTCCTTTAAGTGTGTTATGCCGAAGCTCCTAATGCCCTTTGTTTCAGAACTAGTTGGATTAAGTTATTGTGTTCTTAAGTCCGAAGTGACTCTATACAAGTACCTATTATCAGAGGCTGAAGTTGACCTGCTTTTGCTCTGGTGAATAACTTTGCTTGAATCTATGGAAGACTTATGAAAATTTGTGATTAGAAGTACTTCGGTCTGTACCTACATATAGATACAGAGAGAAATATTTCCATTGGATGTTTGTATGCGTGTTGTTTGCAATATAACCTGACAATAAAGTGAATCATTCCCGGTAACAACTAAATATATGGGCTGTTAGCCAAATTCTGAGATATTTTGGCAATGTTGAATTTTGGGGTGTTGTAATGGTAGTCTTGTAACAGAAATTGTTTTAATATTAACTCTTTTGTATACACAGGTAAAAAACTGGGTCAAAGAATTACGGAAAATGTTGGGAAATGAAATCTGTTTATGTATAGTTGGTAAGCATCATTACTTTTGAAAAATATCCTTTATTTTCTTAATGCTTTATTAAAGAATAGTAAACCAGTAATTCTATTTTAAAATTACATGAGAAAAGAATGACATTTTAACACATAATGTTTTAGAATAATTCAGTATTTGGAAGTGCTCTTTTAGGAGATTCAAACTCTGTACCTCAAGGAATGCCTTGAGAAGCAAGTGGGAAGCTAAACACGTAAGGTTTAGCCTTGCTTCAATTTGACTTTTAGTTTTCTACCATACAGTTTTATTTAGAAAATAAGTTCAGGAACTAAAATTAAAACCAATAACTTAAGCTAGTTCTTGTTCTGTACATTTAACTATGTACTTAAAAAAAAGAAATTCTTATCTGAGGACATGCTTAGAGAGAAAGGGAGAAAGAAACATCGATGTGAGAGGGAAACATCAGTTGGCTGCTTTCTGACATTGCTCAACCAACTGAGCCACTAACTATATACATTTTTGAATTAAGGAAAAATTTGACTCCAAGAAAGGATATAAGTAGATCATGATACTAGGGTGGAGGAATATTATTAAAGAATAAAATAATGGAACTCTAAACTCTCTCTTGGACTTCTGAAATTTCTCTTTGGTTCCCTTTTTCCTTTTGATTATTATTTCTGTGATATAACAGTTAATTATTGAGCAATAAAGTGTACCAGACATTGTTCTATGTACTCAGTAGACATTATCTCATGTAACTCTCATTGCCTTACAAGTGTTTTATAGAGGAAGCTGAACTCTGGAGATATATTAACTTGAACAATATTAGGCAGCTATCAGAGATGGGATTCAAATTGAATCCCTTATGCCTCCTGTGCATATGTTATTAATCCTTATGATGAGTAGCCTCATGCTGTTTTCTCCGTTCTTTTCTATATGACTAATATAGTAAAAATGCCTGGGAGAAACCAGGGGAGTACTAGTGAGGGATGTAGAGTGGAATGGTCAACATGGGCAAATTCTGCTTTTAGCTTTAAGAATTTTTGTTTTTAACTTGAGTTTACGTTTCGTGCATTTTGTCACCATTAAATGATTGGTAAACTTGACAGTTCCAGATCAGGGTGCAGGTCTGGGGAAAGAGGCCAGGGAGATGATCTGGCCTAATTTTTAGTTGAGATGCTACATGTTAGGCGAGATGGCAGGAAGGTTTCAGAATAGAACACTGAGGTAGTAGGCCATATAGGCGTTTGGGGCCAAAGTTGCAGGTAGTTTATTAGTGAGTTTGGCCTGACTTTGTGTGGTTTTTGGGACTTACTGGGAGTAGATGTGGCTATGATTATTGAGCAACTGAATATTTGACTATTTGGGATTCAGATTATCTCTCAGAAGAGAGAAAGAAATGACTAATATATACTCAGAGAAGCCTCAAGAGCTTGTTACTTTAGCAAAGTTACAAAGTAACATTTAAAAATATAGCTGGACAAATAAGCTTATGAGTATTAAGCTTAACTTAATTAACTTAAATTATATTCTTTATGTTCATATTATAAAAAGGTTTAGGAATATTGTGTCTGGTAGCTTACTACCTCAAGTAGGGTCAAATATCCTCATTTAATGTTATATACCATTTATTAATGATCGGTATAAAATATAAAAAGCTTACTCTCTTCTTTCCTGTTGGCAAATGTGACATGGAATTTTAGTCGTGGAGAGTCCCTTTATCACAAAAGGAAAATTTCACAGTTAACAAAGCTGTATCACCAGTATCTTAGAAGCCCCACCGGTGCTTTTCTCATCCCAACACTATCCAGCTGCCTTCTCCTAACCATCTCTTACTGCCAAATACTATCTTAACTTTTTACTTTGTGGATGAGTTTTGCTTTGAATTTTATATAAATGTAACCAGATAGTATGAATTCTTGTGTCTGGTTTCTTTGGCTTTTCATTATGTTTGCAAGATTCCGCCACATTTTTGTATATAGATGTAGTTCGTGTTATTCTCTCTGCTGTCTAATAATTTATTCTATGAATATTCCACAGTTTATAAACTTTTGCTATTGATGAACATTTGCATTATTTTTTTTTACCTATTGATTTTCATTCTATTATCTGTCATAGTTCAGTATTTTATTACTGGTAGTTTTACTTATAGTAGTTCTTCTGTTTTATTATCTTCAAAATAATAATACCTTCTGGTGAAGATTTAATATGATTTGGAGAACACTTAGTATAGCAAAGGCATTTTGACAAATATTTGTTCCTTTCCCTGTACATAAGACAACCTTTTAAACTTTTGAAGCTTGCTTGAATAGTTAGCCTACAGTCTTTTTTTTTTTTTTATCCTACTCCGAGGACATTTTTTCGATATTTTGTTCAGATAGAGTAGGAGGGGGAGAGAAGAGAGAGACATCGACGTGAAAGGGACACATCGAGTGGTTGCCACCCGCATGACCCAACCAGGGCCAGCGACAAACTGCAACCGAGGTACGTGCCCTTAGCGGGAACCGAACCCAGGACTCTCTGGTCTGCAAGCCGATGGATGCTCTAACCGCTGAGCCAAACCGGCCAGGGCTAGTCTGCCCTTAACATTTGTATGTTTATTAAACAAATATTTTTATTATTTATTTAAGAGAGAGGGGAAGGAAGAGGGAAAGAGAGAGAAACATCGATATGAGAGAGAAACATTGATGTGAGAGCGAAACATCCATTGGCTGCCTCCTGTATGTCCTCTACTGGGGATCGAGCCTGCAGCCTGGGACTGTGCTCTGACCAGGATCGAACCGGCAACTTTTCTGTGCACTGGATAATGCCCAACCACAACTGAGCCACACTGGCTAGGGCCAAATATTTATTATTAACAAGTTACCATTAATTGAGTGCCGGGTACATTTCTAAGAACTACACATTTATTTCATTTAAGCCTCTGACAAACTGCAAGAGAGATTTTGTTGCCATTTCCATTTTACACTTCAGTAAATGGGCTTGGAGAGCTTGATACTTTCCAAAATACATAACTAATTGGAGGTGGGTAGACCTGGGATTTTAACTTAGGTCTGTCTGCTACTTCAAGCCCATATCCTTAATCAACATTATATATTGCTTTCTATGTACTAGGCTTTGGGGATAGTGTAGTGAATAACTAAACAAATTAGATAATATCTTTGTCTTCTCAGAGTTTATTGTGTAAGGAGAGAGAGAAAAGCAAACTATTGTATATTTTGATAAATGCTGTGCAGGGGGAGTACTATGGAGTACTGTGATAGCATAGAAGCAAACCTAACTAAATTTAGGGGGTGGAGGGTGAAGGGAAGATTTCCTAGAGCATTGGGTTAACTAAGTTAGCTAAATGGAGCCAGCAGGGTAGGAGTAGACAGTACTTTAATGCTCTCATAACAAGTTTGATTTTCCAGTTGCTCATTCACTGTGATAAATATGTCTAATATTAATAACTACTCTTTATTGAACATGTACTATATGCTAAGCCTTGTACAATGATCATATTTTTATATCAGCCCTGCAAAGTTTGTTAGCTAATATTTGTACAAAGTGAGACTAAGGTTAAGTAATTTACCTTAAAATCTTACAGTTATAAAGTGAGTCTGGACCTAGAAATTTTCTTCAGATTTAAAAGGCTTTTGAGAGCTGCCTTCTACTAGGCCAGACACCATCAATCTAAGCAAAATAAGGTTCTAGTTCTTTAAAAAAAAAAATTCTAGTATTATACTTTTAAGTAGGTGCTTACTTTGGTGGTTATCCTTGTTTTCAGGTGTCATAAATGTATTAGAATTTTTCTGTTAGCTGCACCATAGCATTGAAACATATTGGAACTAAAAAGGTACCTTTTTGAGTTTTGGAAAGATAACCCATCACCAAGGCAGTTTTCTGTGACTTTGTCTGTGCTTAATGAATTTATAATGGACACTGACTGTTCAAAGAAATAGTAGTTATTTCATAGAGGGATTAAGTTTTTTTTGTTTAAAATAATTAAGTTAAAATAGCTTTTTTTTTTAACCCTCACCCGAGGACATCTTTCCATGTTTTGTTCAGATAGAGTGGGAGGGAGGGAGGGAAAGAGAAACATTGACATGAGAGGGACACATCGAGTGGCAGCCACCTGCACGACCGAGCCAGGGTCGGGGACAAACTGCAACCAAGGTACGTCCCCTTAGTGGGAACCAAACCCGGGTCTCTCTGGACCGCAGGTCAACGCTCCAACTGCCAAACCAAACCAGCCAGGGCTAAAATAGCTATTTGAATAACTGGATTTATTAAAGTTAGGTTAGTTTAAAATGTTATTAAATAAGAAAACAATAATTTCCTCCAGTTAGTCATTTGAGGCAGTACTCTCCCTATACCTTTAAAAAAAAAAAAGATATTGATAATTCAGATGGAATTTGAAAAAAGAGGCAGCCCGGCTGGTGTAACTCATTAGTTGAATGTCGACCCATGCACCAAGAGGTCACCGGTTTGATTCCTGGTCAGGACACATGCCCAGGTTGTGGACCCAATCCCCAGTGGGGGACATGCAGGAGGCGGCCAATCGATGTTCTCTCTCATCGGTGTTTCTCTCTCTTCCTCTTCCTTTCTCTCTCTCTGAAATCTATAAAGAAAAATATATTTTAAAAAAAAAGGAAGCAGAAAGTCCTAGGAAAAATTCATAGGGTTTTAGTTCTTGCTACCTCTAGAAGACAATCCTGTTTTATCTTTTTAAGAGTGGCAGAATGTTGTGCCTTTGTTTGCTAGAGCCACTGGCCACTAGGTGGTGCTTTTTGCATTCTTTATAGCATAAATAAAACTACTTTTTCCTCTGGTGACTGTTGAATATATTGGCTATAATATTTAGCAAATTAAAAATTTTATTGACAAAGTTTAATGTAGGAAATCAAGACTAATATATGCTGAGGCAGACAAATAACTGTTCAAAGACGGAAGAGTTCATTACTGAATGTGTTAGTACCTACTGGACTTTAGACTACTTCCTTCCCTCTCATCCTTAGGCTATGGAGACAAGCAGTTGATTGCAGCTGCTTACAGTTAGGTGCTCAGAGATCCTTTATATATAGAATCTCTGGGCTTGTACTTCTCAATTCTAAGCATTGCATCTTTCACTAGGTACTTTGGTGCTCTATCTGAAATTGTCTTCTAGATTCTTTAAGGTCCTAAGAAAAATTACTTTATTTACAAGGCCCACCCCCTAAGTCAATAGAATAAATTAAAATGTTGTTTGCAGTGTTCTTCCTTAGGGTATTTGTCCCCATTTCTATCTGTTATTTTCATTACTTTTAGCACTTAATGTGTCCAGCCAACTCATATTAACCTCTATCCTGTATTTAATAAGGAATCTGTATTTTGCAGTTACTTTACTTTTGTTCTGGTGGCTTTTTAGCATACTCTTAGTTTGGTTCCCTTGTTTAAGGAGGGCTAAGCTAAACTTATTTTCAGTCATTTCACATCTGTATGATGTACATATATATTTAAAACTTTTAATTTTCAGTTACTGTTGACATAAAACATGTTAGTTTCAGATGTACAACATAGTGATTAAACATATAACTTAATAGTTTTCACCTTGATAAGTGTAGTACCCATCTGACACTATACATAGTTATTAGAATATTATTGACTATATTCCCTGTGCTGTGTTTTACATCCCTGTGACTGTTTTTATAACTGGCGATTTGTACAGCTTAATCCCTTCCACTCTTTCACTTATCTCTCCAACTCCCCACTTATCTGGCAGTCATCAATTTTTTTCTATCTGTGAGGTTTTTTTTGTATTTGGTTCAATTCTGTGTTTTAGATTCCACATGTAAGTGAAATTGTATGGTATTTGTCTTTTTCTGTCTGACTTATTTCACTTAATATTCTCTAGGTCATAAGGTACATATATTAAGTTCTCGCATGTTTTCATTTATTTTTTGGTTAATCCTCACCCAAGGATATTTTTTCTTTGATTTTTTTTAGATATAGTGGACAGGAGGGAGGGAGAGCGAGAGAGAGAAACATTGATGTGAAAGAGACACATCAGTTGGTTGTCTCTTGCATGACCCTGTCCAGGGCTGGGGATCAAACCAACAACACTGGTATGTGCCCTTGACTGGGAATCAAATCTGCAACCCTTCAGTCTGCAGGCTGACGCTCTAACCACTGAGCAAAACCGGCCAGGGCATCTCTCTCATGATTTTAAAACAGAGTATAGTTTTCTCCTCTGTGGTGGTGAAGTGCTTAAAAAGCCATACAATTAATGCTTTCTTCAACCAGTTTATATATCATCCAGGAAACAAAAATACCCTTAGGATCCAAGAGGCTAACCTGTTATATTTTTGTGAACAATTAGGTTTCCTTGCAAGTTGATTCAGGACCATTTACACTTGCCTACAAAACATAGATTTATCACTAGGTTCCCTAGTGAATCTTAGTCTCTGTGATACCTTAAATGAAGGAATAGTGCCCTTCTCTTTGGAAAAGTTATTTTCTCTGACAGATGGCAGCTTCAGGAATGCTGTGCATTGAGCCATTTGAGGGAGGTTGAGGCATTCACTTTGATAATCATGATCAACCCTCATAGGGGTTACGTTTTCTAATTTTAGGACATTTAGAAGTTTCATGGGGATTTGTATTATTTTTTCAGGTGATTAAAGTTGCAATTGTATATTTAGAATTGGCTTAATTTTGTTACAAAATGAATTACTGTTAAATATTGGCATTTACTTTTTCAAATTAGGTAATAAAATAGACTTGGAAAAGGAAAGACATGTATCCATTCAGGAAGCAGAATCGTAAGTATTATCCCTGCCACTTTCCCAGTGACCCGCCCCCCAACAATCACTCCTCAGTAGAAGTCTTCCTCTTAGCACAGTGTGGTTTACCATTTAGGTGTTACTCAAATGTCTTAATATAGATTTATCTGTTGGTTTCAGTGAAGCATGTTAAAGTTGGTAATTTCTAGACTTTTGGCAACATATAAAGATAAGCCACTCTCATTTATTTAAGTGAAAAATATAAAGTAATGCAAAAGAAAACTATCATGATCAAATGGTGTGTCACAAAATCTTTACAAATACTTGTGTTCCAAGTTATTAACAATGTTAACTCTTGTTAACTTGTGCTGATTTAAAATTTGGTAATGTACAGAGATGTGAAATGGCTATGTATAATCTTTTTTTATTTTTTATCAGTTTTAAAAATATAAATATATATTTATTGATCTTTAGAGAGAGAGAAAGAGAAACATTGATGTGAGAGCAGAACATTGATTGGCTGCCTCTTGCACGCCCCATCACCAGGGATTGAGCCACAACCTGGGCATGTGCCCTAATTAGGAATGGAACTGGCAACCTCTTGGTGCACAGAACAGTGCCCAACCAACTGAGCCACACTGGCCAGGGCTATAATCTTAGTTTTATTAAATCTGGGCTTATTAGTTAAAAGTCACTAAATTTGTACCATAAAAAAATTCACATAGCAGTCATGACAAAAACATGAAAAGTATTTTTTATATTGATAACTGATGTTATTTTTTTCTTTAAGGTATGCAGAATCTGTGGGAGCAAAACATTATCATACATCAGCCAAACAAAACAAAGGAATTGAGGAACTCTTTCTTGACCTTTGTAAAAGTAGGTATATTCAGATTTAGTATATTTAGAAATGACTCTTTTTAAAATATTTGTAATATGTTTAAAGTGATGTTTTACAGTCTCCATTAATGACCATATTGATGATTTGTCACATCTACCAGTACTATTATTAATATTTTTTATAAATACCTACATGTAAATATCTACTTTAGCTCTACTTCAAGCAGTAATGAGTGGATATGAAATCTTATGAGTGTGGTATGTGCTAAATGCATATTAAAATGCATAGCTGTTACAAGTATAAATGGAGGGAGAATATACAGATTAAAACAGATTTGAGAGATGTAACAATCTATTGCAGTGGATGGACCTTATTTGAATCCTAATTGACCAAGTAGTGAAAAAAACATTCATGAAACAAAACTATGAACATTCACTGGATATGTGATGATATTAAGAAATTATTGGAGAGACTGTGGGAGGGCGGAATGGGTAAAGGGAGTCAAATTATATGGTGAGCAATGGAAACTAGGCTTTTGGTGGTGAGCACATAATAGCATATACAGATATCAAATTATAGTGCTGTACACTTGAACTTTATATGATGTTATTACCCAATGTTACATCAAATTAAAAAGTAAATTAGAAAAAAACAGTATTGTAAAACTTTTAGATGTGATTATGGTGGTATGGTTATGCTTTAAAAAGAGTTTTTTTTGTTTTTATTTTTTTTTAAGAGTTTTTTTTGTATGCATAACCAATGGACTTAGACAACAAAGCTGGGGAAGGGGTGGGGGGTACGGGGAGGAGGGTGTCAGTGGGGGGGGTGGAAGGAGAAACATCTGTAATGAAAAACTGATAAAAATAATTTTTAAAAAAATCACATAGTTATTTTTTTAAAGTTCTTTTACAAATCATATTAGAATAATTTATGAATAATATATATGTGATTTATGTGTGTATGTATGTGGGATTTGATTCAAAATAATGATAGGGATGCTTGCCAAGTATGGATTGAAATTGTGTGATGGACATACAAATTTTCATTATCTTATTCTTTCTACTTTTATATATATGTTTGAAATTTTCCATATTAAAAAGTCATTTAAAGAGAGAAAGGAAAATGTTTGTTTATATACAACCTGAAAGTCATTTCTCATCTCACCAATAAAATTACATACCGTATTTTGGAAAATCTAAGTCTATGTAATAATGGATTGAAATGATTTTATCAAATTACATTCCTTGAATTTATGGACATCTTAGGCTCTTGAGAATTTGATGCAATTGGTTTTTCTCTGTAGAAAAATGTACATGTACATAAACTTTGGAGTGAATTTCAGTTCTATGAAAACCTGAAAGTCATTCATAATTCTTCTAGAGTAGTAATTTTCTAAGTGAGGTCCCCTAATCAGCAGCATCAGCACCACCATCAGCATCACTTGAGACTGTGTTAGAGATGCTGCAAATTCTTGAGCCCTACCCCAAACCTACTGAATCAAAATTTCAGGAGGTAGGGCCAAGATTCTGTGTTTTAACAATCCCTCTGTGATTCTGATATACACTAAAAGTTGAAAAGCACTGCTGTACATTCCAATCATTTGTGGATCTTGTTAAAATGGCTCTGGTGTGGACCTGAGCTGCTCATATCTAACCCCAGTGATCATGATGCTGGTCCTTCTTCAGACCATACTTTGAGTATAAAGGCTCTAGATCTGGCTTATAAATGTTTAAATCACGTGTCTTTATAAAAAATGTTGAATATTCCCCATATGTTTATTTTAAAATGCAGAACATATATAATAACTACAGTCGTCCCTCACCACTTCGCGCTTCGACTTTCATGGCTTCACTCTTTCATGGTTTTTTCAAATACATTAAAACGTTGATCAAGACAGTGAAAATAATACAGTGCATGCTTGGTTGTCTGAGTCAATTATACACTCTGTATTACAATTAAATTAAAATTACTGTACTTATGGACTGTAGGCCTATGTATTCGAGCACCCCAGGAACCCTTTAACACCAGGTGCAACTGCTAGAGTCTGGAACGGATTAACCACGATAAATGAGGGACAACTGCAGTAATGTTTTGTACATTATAAAACACATAAAAAAATAGAAACATTTTAAAGTTGAGGAAAACTAAGTAGAAGTTAGATTTTGTAATGTTTTCTAATTTCATCTCGGTGGCTTGTCTAACAACCTCAGTTTGGAAACTACCATTCAAGAGCAGTCTCTTGACCCAAATTGAAGAATCCTTGTTCTATTCTGAGGATTTCTTCTTTTCTGTCCTCATCTTTTCGGATACGTGTTTTTCAGTTACTTACTCCTAGTCTGTGTCTTACATTTTCATTTTTAACTGTCTCTCAAAGAGCAGAAGTTCTAAAATTTAATGATGTTCAATTTGTCAGTTTCTCTTATGATTTGTTTTGTGTCTTATGAGAGAAATCTTTGTCACTCAAAAGTCACAAAGGTTTTCTTTTTCTTAAATTTTCAAAATTAATTTATTTTATTACAGATATTTCTCCTTTTTCCCCCATAGACACCCTCCTCCAGATCTCCCCCGCCCCCAGCATTGTTGTGTATGTCCATTGGTTATGCATATATAAAGATTTTCTTTTATAGAGATTTCCTTGTATGTTTTCTTCTAGAAGTTTTGTGTTTTACATTTAGGTCTGTAATTCATTTTTTGTTAATTTTTGTATATGTCCAGTTCCAGTACTATTTCTTGAAAAGATTATCCTCTGTTGAATAATCTTAGCAACATATGTCAAAAATCAGGTGACCATGTATGGGGTTTGTATCTGAACTATTTCCATTGATCTCTATTTCTCCTTTCACCAATATCTGTCTTCATTAGAGAAACTTTCTACTGTATTTTTAAATTAGATAGTGTGACTTCTTCAGCTTTGTTCATCATTTTTAACTCTTTTATTTTGTCAAATATGCATTACTAGTTGAAGAATAAATCTTTTACCTTAAGTACTTGGAATAATTTGGACTTCTTTGACATATTTTTAAGTATATTTGGAAAATTGTAAGGATTATACTTGTATACAATCATTTGTTAAAAGGCAAAACTTTTTTTTCTCTATTTATGTCATTGTGGCTATTATCTGGACAAGTAAACTTCCTATTAATTTTTTAAACTTGCAGGAAAAGCTGTTTAGTGAGCTGACAAAATGTTTATTATATTTAGTGTCTTTGCTGGTTTAAAGTCAGAAATGTCTATCATGGTGGTATACTAAAATTATAGAAAGAGAATTCAAAGATTGTAGTCCTAAATTATTTGTTTTCTTCCTCTCTTAGGGATGATAGAAACAGCACAAGTGGATGAGAGGGCAAAAGGCAATGGCTCCAGTCAACCAGGAGCTGCCAGGCGAGGTGTACAGATTATTGATGATGAACCTCAAGTCCAGAGTGGTGGTGGAGGGTGCTGTTCTTCTGGATAACTGTTCACACCTAAGAAATTAAAACAAACTGTGGATCATTGCCCTCAACATGAAGACTGCCATATTCCAAGTCACATTATTTTACCAATGGAATTATAGAATTAACAGTATTTTAAATTACGTTTATAACACTGCAGAGACCTTAAGTGCTAAACTTAGTGGAGTTTGTGACCAGAGAATTGGCATTTTCTACAAATGTTAACAAAGCAATTACCAATGGCCTTTTTACATATTTTTTTCTTTAATAAGGAATAATATGCATGTAGAAAAGACCTACTTAAAGGCTTCATTTATATTCTTTTAAATCAAATCTTTATTTAATAACTTATGTACGTTGTTGGAATGGTATACATTTTGCAGCCCTTTGTATTTTGTGGTAGTTTGAATTGTATCACTTCTAAACAGCAAACTGTTTTTGTTTTTGTTTTTTAATTAGCAGATACCTGAAGTACTATTTTTGCAGGGTTTGCACAGTCCCCTAACTGTCTACTACTTTGATATAATCTATATACATCCTGTATGCTGAGCTAGTAAAATACATTGTAAATTACATATTAAATATTTTATCTGCTTTTACAAGCGCAAGGTGCAAAAATATATACAGTAGTCTCATTGATGACTGTAAAGTGATTAACATTTGATGATAATGCCTAAGCTTTCTGACTCTGATATATAAAGATCATAGCTCCCTTCACTTTTGTCTTAACTTGAAAGTGGCGTGTTTAATTTTTCACATATACTTTACTTGAATTATTGCTGTTGTCACATATTTTTCCCTCTGTAAGTCCATCTGATGATTGAACAACAGCATTTGCCTTTTGGTTTGGGTTTTATTTGTGTTTTAATTTTTTTTATGAAAGAGATGACTTCTGCCAATTTTGCTTTAGAATGGTTATCTTAGAAATACTTGAGCAGCACATGCTGAATTTTACTTCTTCAATGGCTTTAGTTTTCTCTTAGGCTTTCTGTGAGATGGGTTCACTGGTGCGAGAAGAAAGGAAGAGATCCCAGATAGTAGCCACTCACCAAGACTCATCCATGCAGAATGTTAGTGGTGGTTTATGCTCCTGAGGCAGCACTTTTAGATCCTTTGTGACAATTGTCTTCGTTCAATGCTTGCCAGAGATGAACACAAAGTTTTGTTTAATTTTGTAAGAGCTGTTCTGAGTTTCTGTGAAGGGAAACATTTCATGTAATGCAGTTACAGCGAACACTGGAAAGATTTATTATAAAATTATATTCTTGTGTACTTTGTAAATTAGTCTCTCATTAGATTTTTTTTTTTTACATGGAGCATAGGACTGAACTTAAATTTGTTAATTTTAATAGAATCAGGCACTGCTCACGAAGGAACACAAGTTGTAGAAATCAACGTAAATTGTTCTTGTTCTAATATATATATTTTTCCATTTCTGTCATGCTTGGAAAACTAGTAAATGTTATGTCTGAGATAAAATGGAATGGTCCCTGGATTCACTTCTTATAAGAAGCAGTAGTATGCAATAAAGTTGTTAGCATGAGCAATTAAGAGAATATAAAGATGTACTACCATATTTTTAAGTTAAAACCTTAATCTGGGTTAAAAATGGAATGAATTGACACCTTAATTTTATGATGTTAGAATTTTAACTTAGTATTAGCGGTTCTGTGAGCCCTCACTTTACCTTTTCTAATTATTGTCCTTGCCAAACTCAACACACTGACCTCTGTTGTGTGTGTTGGGGAGAGTGGGGTGGGAAAAGTCAGGGAGATAAGCTAAAATTCTTTTATGGGGTGACTGTACTCTGGTTTCTCAGTTTCCTGTGAAGTTGGTGTTTGTTCAGGGGCTTGGGGAAAGCAGAGGGAATCATGAGTACCACAGAGGAAAATTGTTCGGGCCTTCTTTCAGGTGTAGAGAACGCCTTGCCACGCCTCCTATTGTAGATGTAGATGGGAAATAAGCTCGTGCATTGGAGTGAAAAGGTTTAAATTTTTTTTTTTCTTTATTGATTTTTAGAGAGGGAGAGGAAGAGAAACATTGAAGAGAGAGAGAACATCAATTGACTGCCTCCTGCATGCCCCCCACTGGGGATCGGGCATGTGCCCTGACCGGGAATTGAACCGGCGAACTCTTGGTGCATGGGTCAGTGCTCAACCACTGAGCCACACTGGCCGGGCCTGGAGTGAAATAGGTTTATAAAACTAGAGATGAAATTAAGTTTTATTTTTAAAAATAGAGTTATAAAGCCTGATAATTGGAGAGCTGTACTCTCAATTTTGACCTTATAAAGTCCAGATAGGAACCTTTCTTCCAGAGCTGCCAGATAATTATTGGTGGACTATAGCTACTCTCCTTTTTCCCCCCCTCTATTCTCTCTTGGTTTCTGTGTAGCTTTCTTAACCTCAAACATTTTATTCTTTTTTTGTTTAACCTGTGATTTAAATTAATGCAATAGCAACAATATAGTATACCTGTCCTTGCTCTAAAGCCCCAAAGGTCTTTAGGTGGAAATAGGGTGAAGGAGTAATGAAAGAAGACCAATCAATTGTAGTATGTTACAGGGAAAAATAAAGAGATGGTAGACCAAGGCTGAGAAGTTTTTCTGATACTTTCTTCACATCTAATATATCTTTGTGTTTTTAATCTTGTAATTGTGCTATTAGGAAGAAGACACAGTTACCATGTTGTGTATTAAAAGTAGTAAGTAGGTAGAAGCAATATATTTTTCAAATAGTAAGTGTATACACTTAGTATATATAATTAAAATTGGTTTAAGATAGTCATTAAAAGTATCTGAATATTATGTTAAAAGTATCCAGTCATTTCTGTAATGATGATGGCTTTCTTGCTCCTTGTTTTTCTTTGTGATTATAGAGGAAGAATATTGTTTTTAAAAATGTAGATTGTAACAAATTTGGGGTAAACAGTAATATGAAAAGAAAAATGCATCATATTATTGGATAAAATATGAGTGTTTGAATTTGTTTTGTTCAAGAATGTCTCCTGAGAATACCCTAGATCTATGACTGTTACAGCTGAATTAAAATCTTTTTCTATATTAGCCATATATTATTAGTGATTACTTTTAATTTGGCCTTTAGGAAAGAAGAGTGATATTTATTTTTAGATTTTCATAAAATACAAAATTTGGGAACTAGGGAAGGGAGTAGTGAGGAGTAGAATGGAAGTCAGGTAGATGTGAAACTGCAATATGATAGTGTTTTAAATCATTTTGAAAAATATGTTACTTTTATTACATAGTTCCTAAATAAGGCACGCTATGCATTGTAACAAATATTTAGAACATTAAAAAATGGACTGGGGTGCTATTTATTTATTTTAATAGATAATTTGCGATTTTCTATATTATAAATGCTACGAAGAATCTAGATCATTTATCTTATATATTATCTCTAAATAATACAATTTTCCCTTGTGATTACCAACTATCTCTAAAGTAGTTTGATCTGTGCCTTTAACTTTTCAAATTTATCTTTTATCTTCTGTTTGCCATTACAATTTGCATGGGTTCTTTATAGATACAATGTGAGAAAAGGGGAATACTTAATTGGAGACAGTGTAAGCTGTTGGGATCTTCAAAAAGTGTAGATAGTAGTGACCATCAGCAGCCTTACCGTAATGTTTAAAGATATCATAAAGGCAGAGTAGATCCTTAAGTATTCTTTTCTGAATTACAAACTGCATTGCCTAGATTTAAAAAACCATTTTTAAAAATTGATTTTAGAGAGAGAGGAAGGGAGAGAGAGAGAAATGTCCATCGGTCACTTGCATGTCCCCACTGGGGTTTGGCCCACAACCTGGGCATGTACCCTACTGGGAATCAAACTGGCAATCTCTTGGTGCATGGGCTGATACTAAACCACTGAGCTACACCAGCTGGGCTGCATTACCTAGATTTTAATCATTAAAAGCTGGGATTCATTTAACATACATTTACTTGATTTTTTAATAGGCATTAATACTAGTAGGTTGCTGTTCTGTAATTTTTAATCATCTAAAACAGTAATGTGTTTGGTGCTGTGGCCAAAATTCGTGCTACATATGTCTGACTTGGATGGGTTTTTCCTTTTCCAGAAAAATAAATCACAATCTGAGCAAACTTTTCTAAATGTAAATATTTTAGTATTAATCATGTGTCATGAAAAAAATTTATAAATACTCTTGAGTTTCCAATATCAAGCAAAAATACTTCACTTCTAAACAAATATCACTTTAATATCTTGATAGATCTTAGCTCTACTTGTACTATCTGGGATTTATATATTATCTCTTTTCTGAGAAACTGAATGTACTTTTGAATATTAACCTTTCTACTGCAACATTTTCTCTGTGGTAGACAAATGAGGATTGCGAGTTAATGTTACATGGTACACCTGGCAAGAAAGCATCTTGCCCTCTTCAGAATCCTGCACATATTTCCAAGTGCATCACATTAAAACCAAAAGATTGGTCTTGCCTCCTTAAATGACCTTTATTTCCACTGTATCAGTTCTTACCTTGATTTTGATACTTCCTGGCAGCTGTATCATCTCTTTATTATCAAATGCTCAAGAAAAAACTAATAAGATTTCCTTAAATTGAACTGTGTAGAGCAATGAGAGAAAGTTTAGGGAAAATAGGGTTAAAGTATGATACTGTTGAAAAATAGACAACAGTTGTTTTTACTAAACTGTATCTTCCATAGCAAGCTATTTTAAGGAAACCATTATATGTAGTACTTCTTAGAAATGTAAACTTTTTCATTTTGTATTTAATTGTCTAAGAATATATTCTAGAAAAAAGAATATATATATATATATATATAATGAAAGTGCCCTTTGGGAGCCCCACTCCCAAATGGTCACTCTTGATCTCTAATATATGCTCTTCAATTACCTTTTTGCACTTATATACATATATACCTATAGAAATACATCGTTTTATGGAGTTTCGATTTTTACATAAATTCTTACTGTGCATATATTTTGCAACTTTCTTTTTTCACTTACCAACATGCCTAGGAGCTCTTATATTAGTTTAACAGACTTTCATTTGATTTTCTCCCATATTTCTTTGGGTGTGTTTTGCCTTTTTGAATAGCCTCTGACCATGAATCCTTCGAAAAGCTATCTGGTCAATTTGGTGGGCTTCGTTAGAATCATAAAACTTGCATGCCAACCGGTGCTTACTTAGAATCAGAGTCCTAAGAGTGTGAATCAGGAAATAAGGGATGTGCTTACAATTCATTTGAAGTACATTATTTTTGGACTACTGTTAATAATATATACAATTAAGAGTTAACTTTCACAGACTTTAGAATAGGTTTTTATTTGAGGGAAGAAGGAAAAAGAGGGAAGGTATAGTTGATAGGGGAAAAGTACAGAGTAAACTAAAGCAAGTCTTCATACAACTTCAAGTAGTTATGTCACACAAGACTTCATGCTACCAAACATTTAAACTTCCGCATGATCTGTGCCTTTATTAATATAGAGTAAAAAAATGAAAGTTCCTTTTCAGATCTCCCTTTCCCCACTATCCTGCATACCTCTTGAGAGGTAACCATTGTTAACAACTTAGGGTGTGTTGCTATCTCTATTATATATAAATATTTTTATTTATAGTTGACCTTTATATGTTTCAATTCCCTGAAAGCAACTTTTACCCAATGCCAAATTCCATCCTCAGTCAACTGACCAAATTATCAAGAACAAACCAGAATCTCACCTGAAAGTTAAATCAGTGGTAACAGTTCTTGAAATAGAAGACAGTTCTTGAAATAGACCCTTAAGGTGTTTTTCATGTTTATGATAAATTACGCTTAAAGAGTAACTAGCATTCCGGTAAAGTCAAATCAAAATACTGGTTTCTGTCCCTCATGGAAATAAGGCTGAGAAAGAGGAGGGTGCAAATCCAAGGTTTCTTAATACTTGTGTAATTTTGGGTTGGGCTTCTCTTGGCATGCTTTGCTACTTGGGGGGCATTGCAGTATACCCAACAATTACTTTAGATACTTCTCTGTACTGTCAAGGCAATACCTTAGCATGTTAGTGCTATGACATACAGTTAAACATGTGCGCCTCAGAACAAATTTATTCATATTTGACTAAATGAAAACTGAAAATTCAGAGAGCAATTGAAGCACAACTTTCCATGATTTTGTTAATAATTTCTGAATGGTCTTTCAAAAAATTTAAAGCACACTCTGCTTATTTTGACTCTTCTAATTTATTGAGTGTCTGCTCTGTGCCCAGTGCCCTTTATAGTTAGAGCTCAAAATTAGGAAACCATTGCCCATATTCTAGGATGTAAGTAGTTTATCTGTGGATATGAGGTCAATCAATCATGTATGTTCACATTCTGTATTTAATCAGCTATGAAACTTTGGGGGTAATTAGAATGACAGTTGTTGAAGATGATAGTGAAATTGAGGTAAAGCCAACCAGAATGATTTTGGGTCTTAGAAATAATTTTCAAGCAAATTAAAATAGAATGACTTGTTTTCTAGCTTCAAAGGGGCAGTGAAGTGATCCTCAAGCCCCAGTTGCTTTTCCAAATTTTGTGGTAATAGTGAAGAAACAGATGCCTTGTGATTATTTTGACAGCTGCTTTTTTTTAAAACCTAGAAAACAAGGAATTTTAAAAAGCAATCGTATTGGTTTTTTGGCCTTTGGCAGATGTTTTCTTTGCCTTGTCACCAGACAGGAACCCAGGAGACAATTCATTAATGAGTCATGGTAGGCCTTTGGAGAGTGTAACACAGTGTAATTCATGAATTTCTAAGTGCAATTTACAGTTTGGGAGCATGGGTCCTCTTTTTCCTACCTGAAACTGAAGACAGCCAGAAAGATAGCTTAACGAATATCTGAATTTTCTGCTAATCTTTTTAGTAAGTTTTAAGGATATATTTTTAATTACAGCATATTATTATTATTTTTTTAATTATTTTTTTTATCCTCACCCGAGGACATTTTTCCATTTTTTGTTCAGATCGGGAGGGAGAGAGAGGAAGAGACAGAGAGAGAAACATCGATGTGAAGGGACACATCGAGTGGCTGCCACCCGCACGACCAACCAGGGCCG